TAACCGAGACTCAACAAATAGACAAATAGAACACTCCTTTGTGCCACGGGTTGGAGTTTGCGTATACGTCAGAGAGGACATCTGTTTTCGATGCCTTGGCAGTCTTGAAGGTACGGCCTGTCTATCCTATGGCTGCGCGCGGACTGCGACGACCATCCCCGCATCTACGGGTGCCTATCTCAAAGCGGTAATGCCGAAACAGACCGACTCATCGACCACGTCCAAATGGCTACAGATTCCGTGCTACTGTAGATCCCATCCGCAGAGATCGTGATCTTCGGCGATTTTAACGCCCACCATGCAATGGCTCGGTTCACGTTTAACCGATCTTGCGGGGAGATCTGTTTGTGACTGCCTTGGCATATGGTCTGACACAATTGGTTACTTCGTCTACGCGGATCCCAGATGTAGAAGATTCCTTCCCTGCTGGACCTTCTGCTAAGCTCTCATCCGGTGGTATATCAGGTTTCCGTCGACGCCCCTCTAGACTGTTCAGATCGTTTTCTTGTCCGGAGCGTTGTGCCAGTCACATTAACGTCGCGGTTGCATTCTGCAGGCTGCCGCCGTGATTGGCACTATAGGTCGGCCGATTGGGATAGGATGCGGTCTTGTTCTGCATCCTACGCTTGGGGCGGATTTGCTTCCTGCCAGACGATCCCAGCGTTGTTGCTGACTCTGTTGCTGATGTGATACTTCAGGTTATGGAATTTTGTATTCCATCCTCTGTGGTGCCCATCGGAGGTAGATCCCAGCCATGGTTTGGTCGCTCCTTTAAAATAGCATCATGCTATAAGCAGAATTACTACCGGGTCTGGGCTAACGCATCAACGTCTCGGGAATTTCTGTCGGTCATCTCTTCCATCTCTGCACAGAGAAGAAGACTCACTAGCCCGTGCCGCAAAGGAGAAAGCCGATCTGTTAGACTCTCTCTTTGCGTCCAACTCGACTATTGATAATGAGAGAAACAAACCGCCGATCAGCCCGCGGTGTGAGTGCTCCACGCCGGATGTGGGGTTTACACAGCGCTCGGTTTGCAAAGAACTCCTCTCCCTGGACGTCAGTAAGTCGAGTGGGCCTGATGGAGTCCCTCTCATTGTGCAGGAGACGTGTGCTCCGGTGTTGCCACCGGTTTTATCGCGTCTTTTTCGGTATTCCTACTCTCGAGGCGTAGTCCCAAATTCGTTGAAGACAGCTTTGGTCCATCCGATCCCTAAAAACGGCGATAGCTATGACCCGTCCAACTACAGGCCTATCGCCATCACCTCCTTGTTCTCCAAAATAATGGAGTGCATTATAAACTGCCAGCTAGGTACCTTGAGGATCACCAGTTGATTAGTCACCGCCAATACGGTTTTAGTCATGGTCGATCGGCTGGTGATCTTCTGGTCTACCTTACTCATAGATGGGCGTAGGTAGTAGAGTCCAAGGGGAGGCATGAGCCGTTAGTTTTAACATAGTGAAGGGCTTCAATCGAGTCTGGCACCAAGCGCTTCTATTACGATTGTAACACAAATAGTTCGGCTCGACCGGGGTGGGACCACACTCTCACAGAATATCAGCGTAAAATAGCAGCTCAATGCTGCTGTGTTCCTTAAATTTTTATAGTACGTATGTGGCCATAGATAAATTCTCTCCAGTATCATTGTAATTCATTATATTCATTAATTACAGTCTGTCAAAAGTTAACTGCTGGACATAGGGCTTCCCCATAGATTACCTCATACGGGGGATACCTGCCATAATTGCCACATTTGGCAAGCGAACTGCCAACCGCAGGTTTCCTATTATTATGCCATTCTTATTAGGAAGAAATTATAAATTATTAGAAGAACTTATCAGAAGAAGTATCACTTCTGCCCATAATATTTCAGTTTTCCTCTGTGTCCTCTCACGAGATGTCACACAAAGTAGTGACACAGATTATAGACACTTAAATCAGAGGTTATTTCAATCTCTTGCGCCTGGGCGAGTTGAAAATTTTATTTCCAATATTGATTTGTTACACTTTCGCATTGTTACACTTTTTCCCCACCAACTGTCCCACAGGTGGAACATATTGGAATCCTTAAATTCTTCTCGTCCAATCATCCCCCCAGTAGTTTCGCGGTGGGACAAATTTCCCTTGTATAAGCGAATTACGAGATATGATTTACAAACTATAAGAGATTGGTGGGAAAAAGTGGAATAATTCGATCTCGACTTCGAAGAGCAGTTTTTTGCTAAGTTTTAGTGGGTATTTGTAATTTTGCAGGCACACATTTTTCACATCTTATATTTATTTACGTGACTAATCTCAGTAACGCATTTAACAGCAACAATACGTCAAATTGCTCCAAAAACAATTGCATCCATTCTTATCGCTTTGTCCTAAATAATCGATAACCCTGTGGCATCAGTATCGACTACTCGCTTATTAAATACAAATTAATATGTATTTATTGAAAAAGACACGTGTTTAATGATCGCTTCTTAGAAAGTGTCACGATGAAAACAGCCCTGGATGAAAGCTGATCGCTTTCGGCTCGGCAGTCGGCTTGTAAACAAGACTATAATGAGGTTTTCCCTTTTAGCCAACTAAATACCGGTTAATATTAATGCCATGCTATTCCATGTTTGAAAGTGTGACGTGTGAAATAGATATAATGTTTTTTAAATTATTATATTTTCATGCTTCGAAATACTATTGATATTTGTTGCTTTATAAGGTAAAAACTAGAAATTAAGGTAAGTTTCCACTAGTTCAACTATTTAGTTCAACCGTTTAGCTACTGGGACAAAAACGTTCCACTTCCACGAACTGATTAAATTAACTTTTAAAAGTATGTAATATTATTATATATCTAATTCCAAATACTATTCATAGTTATTGCCTTATTGGAAAATGATTAAAAATTAAGATAAGTTCCCACTAGTTCAACCATAAAATTACTTGAACTAAATAGTTGAACTTCCAATACCTGATTAAATTATGTGGCAAAATTAAATATTTTATGAAAAAAAAAACAGAATTTTATCAGAAATTATTTTGGAAGGTGGGGTTGCATGGACCCGAAGGAAATGCTATGAAGCCTGATATCCCAAATAACCCAAATTCCCGTACGGTATTAGTACCAGCATTGGAACATGGCCCTCTTTTCACATTTCTGTTTTTGGTGGAATATCACTAGCATTAAACGTTCAAATGTATCAGTATTAAATACAATAGTGGCATAAGAGAATTCAATGACCACATTTCGCCCTGTGGTGTCTGACAAGCAGAGGTAAACTGAAACAGTAGATAAGGAGCAGTATCTTTCCGATTTCAACTATTTATTTACATTACTACCAAACGTGCTAACTATGCACTTTCACTGTCAACACTAAACTCGGTACCACTAACTCCAACATTACTTCACTGGGAAAGAAGGGAGATGAATTAGGTTTAAAGGGAGTGAAGGAGATACCCTTCTTCTTATTTTTCATGTTAATCTTAATTAATTAATTTTAACATAAAGAAAATAACGCCTGATTCTATTATTATTTTTAAATTAAACTTTACTTAGTGTAGCCTCTTGTAATTATTTTCTCATTCAGTTAATCTCACCCGTCTCTACAATACTGCTCAGCTTTAGACACGCTTATCTAAACAAATTACATCTGTAAATAAGATTGGAAGCGTCAACCTATTGATGAAAAGAGGTCAAATAAACCGTTACACTCGAAGTATACCATAATTGGATAATTTTATGGCAAAGCTCGTATGTCTGTGACGTATAAATATAAACTGACCTAATAAAATCTTATATAATAATTGGTAAACGAGTGCCTATTCCTCAGTTCTGTAAACATTTGTTTTATTTATATATTTAATTTGGATGGAGCCGATATTGCTTTTGATATTGGGACTACCGCTTGTCGCGAGTTTTCTCCCGGTCGGGGCCAAGATACCACATATTTGTTTTGAGGTTAAAAAAATCACCTTGTCTTAGCACATCTTCAATCTTTCGCAGTGATTCTACTTTTATGTTATATTGGTTTAAAATATCACGCTTTTTCCATAAATAGAAATAGAAATTAAGGCAGTATGTAAATAATTAACTTTTATTTTTAACTGATAAGCATATTTAAAGCACCATTAGCGCTGATATAATCCTACAACCGGCACAGCATAAATTAAGATAAGTTAGCAAAGATTAATTTGAGATCTCACTTTCGATTTCAATATAAATATCTAAATATTGATGTGAATTTTTATCGTTTCAATCCATGAACACAAATTTTTATACATAAAAGTTAACAACTACCTAATTTTAAACTAACGATCCATGTAATGAACATGTTACTGGCAATTCATAGAATTTGGTCATTTATAGAATACTTCCATGTACCTAATTCAACGTTGGTATAAAATGTGTACCTAATCTATCATTTTTACCATTACATACTTTTCCTAAGTATTTAATGTAATACCTAGATAATGTATATAATAACACGAGGAGATCAGATAAAGTATAAAATGGAAACATATACAACATATTTTCTTTACTGAAAATCAACTTTACTAAGAATTACTAAAAATTGTTTGTGAAGGTAACATAAAGGAATTACAAACGAATAGTTTAATTAAATGTCAATCATTCATTAAAAAGCTTATGCTGGATATTTATTAATAATTAAAATAATATTACGCAATATTAAACATGAAAACTTAGGTTAGGTTAGGTTTAGTTATGTTTAGTCATGTCTTGAATGAGGACGTCATTTTCATAAATTAGTATTTTAAAGCAAACCGTGAACTGCGCTCCCGCTATTCGATTATCTCTTATTCAATACATATAACGTTAAACATTCGGCGTTGTATAGAATGCACATATAAAGTACGAAATAAATAATATTTTATACATTACCTAAATGTTTAAGGTATTATATAGAATATCTTGGTATTCTGTACAATACTGGATTATACAAATTGACGATAACAAATACACTAATCACTAAGTTAAAGTGCACACATCACTTACCGGTAACTTAGAGGTGCTCGCAAGTTTATAGATGTGCTTCTCGCGATAGGCCGCCGCCGCTTTTCGCCGTCATGCCAACCCGCATAACTCCTGGTATACGAGAGTAAACTGCACATCGCACTATCGTTAACAAACTCCACTGACTCTATATCTACAGTATCGTTCGAACCGAAACCGTCAGTAAAAAGTTTAGTGTCATTAAACTCTGTTGCGTTTACGCTTGTGTTGAAGTCTGTCACATTTTCAAATATGGAATGATTCGTTAACTCATACACGCCGTCGTGTTTTGGACTAGAATAAACGTAAACTCGATCTAACTCCGAATCGTTCTCGGTTTTCACTGTCAAGTTGTCTGATGGGTGTGATATATTTAGGTCACGGTTATAGTCATCTATAGATGTATACCAGGCTTCCAGAATTGCGATATGGGTGTCTAGCTCCCGACAAGTCAGCCGGATTTCGCTGTCGTGACATCGTTGCTCCTCCACTATTTCTGAAACAAAGTAAAATACAAATTTTAAAATAAAAAACTACATTGCAACATCTTATACGTCTTCATGTAAATACTAACACAATATATCTATAGTGTTATTTTTTTAATCGATTTCAAAAAGAAGAGGAGGCTTTTGATTCGGTGATACACTCTTTATTTTACACTGGTATTCTATGAGGGCGTGGTCCTTCTCCGGTTGAATTGTGCTACAACCAAAATATAACTGCAGCATGGCTCTACCACGTACAATTTTAGTGACATCCTTAAATATTTTTCAAATATTACGGCATTATAAATTTAAGGAATGTCCCCAGGGAAAAATATCAGTGGAGAATGCTATTTTTGTAAATTAAGTTAGGCGCGACTAAACGATTTATGTTCGTGTCCCTTAAAAGTGGAATTTATCGAGCTCTGAGGGGATTAACTCATAGCGTTTGGTTTACTTGTAAATCTTACCCGTTTTCATTATATATTCCTTGAAAGAGTACATTGAAGATAATAAAAGGATTGAAGCTAATGGTAGCAAAGTACTAACGAGGCAAACTTAAAAGATTTGCTTTTATAATAAGTTATTTTAGGGAGTGGGTTGAATATAAATTTCGAACGCATTCGTTTTTATAGAAAAGGATTTTTAAAAAGGATTAATATACAGCATTTTTAAAAGGAGTATTACCACAAGTTTCCACTTTAACAAATGTACACGTGAAGGCATTTTTCCAAATATTTGGAAAAGTGCTTTCATTAATCCGGGGTATAAAAGTGGTGATAAATTAATATTGAGAATTATAGACCCAAAATAAAAGTCAAAACTATCGATTATTGTTTAGTTGCACAAGAATTAGTTGTTGAGGATTAAAAAACTTTGAAACCTTGAAGAGAATGTACCAAATAAGTTTTAATAATCTTTATCTATCTGAATATAAATATTATATCCAGATCTCACAAACTATTATAGTTAATAAGACCTTTCTTTAATTATAATTAGGTACTTGTGCTAGAAGGCCACAAGCCATATTTTATTATATTGTTTTAAATGGAAGATATCTTCGTCTTTAAATACCTTTATATACTGATGTGACGTTGGATTATTAAAACAGAGATTTGCAAGATGGGCAATGACAGGAATAACATTAACTTATACGTGGTACAATCTCGCTGCAGCTATATTATGGTTGTAGCACGAATGGGTCAGCTAGACCTGCGAAGGAACACGCTATCATAGAATACCAGCGTAAAACAACAGTTCAGTGCTGCTGTATTTTGTATGGTGAGTTTAGAAAACCGGAGACTCTTTTTGCTTGATATTCGGCATTCCATCTGAGGACTACCTCAGGAGTGACAGCGCATCTGCATTTTGATTCTTAACTGATGACATATGTTGATGGCTGTGGGCCACAGAAACCACTTACCATAAGATGGACTGTGTGCTCGTTTATCACGCTTATTCTATAAGAAACCTTAACAAATTTGTAAAAACTTGTTAGGATACCATCCTAACATGATGTTAATATTCATGAGTGTAGTATGAACTTCATTGTATCATGGACTTCTTGCATGCCTGTTTATGACAACACGAATGATGTTATATTATTGTCGTCTCTATCCATAAAATTATTGGGATTGTGATTGGAACTCAATATCTTTGTTAATTTCTTACCAATTTTATTAAAAAGTCGTGGGCTATGTTAACTGGATCGTGAGAGAACTTAATTCTAATGTACAGTCTGTACTAGTTTTGAATGTTCGCCTAATATTCTTCCTAATTGTTAATACTATGACTGCCGATTACAATAATGGTGGAACCTTTCGAATATTAGAAACTGTCATCTACGATCATTATATTATGGATACATGATTACGCATTCACAATATACTAATTGCAGTTGACAACTAATCTTCTCCTCCTAACTTACTCAGAGTCGAGGTAAGCTATATGTTATTAGAAGAGAGCCCGTTTTAAGAGTTCCATAACTTTTTGGCTACAGACAAGAGAGAGATGAGAGGATCATTTCTGAGAGGCTTTTAGGGTAAGAAATTGTCCGTCGTCCAACTTGGTAATTCAGCTGTTAAAATAGCAATTAACAATTTCATTGGTGCCAGAGAGGATCGAAACTGGGTTGCTCATGTACTGTGAAACTTAGAGGGAGCACCTAACCCCTGGAGCGATATCAGTTTTGGTTGCCCAGATATACATTAATTCCATTAACGGTGGGTAGTCTTTGCGAAGATTGGCCATGTGCTCGTGCACTATAATTCTGTCGTGTGCACGACAGGATTATAGTGCACGAGCGTGTGCATAAGTACAGTTGTACACCCTATTCACCCACTCTCATAATCCGATTTATATTCGATTTACATGCTTTCAGAGACACGGCGAAACACCGCCAACTTCCTAACTTCGACCTGCTACTAAGGATTTCTTGACATGAAAATCCCAAAAGCTAATTTGACACAACCCGGGGTCTAAATCCGGGGCTACATGATTTACAGTCGCACTTACAACAAGTAGACCAATGAGGCAGAGTTTTGTATAAATATTCGTTCATCTGTTATTCAAAACTGAGATGAGGATAACCCAAACAAGCTAGTAGCTACTTAGGAATTAGGCTTAGGTACTCACCCCTGTTACTTTTAATTCTTTAACACGATGATACGAATTAGGTCTTTATTAAATGCGATGCAACCTTCGATCAATAATTATACACTTACTAAGTAAGTTCATCTGCGTAGGTCGGACCATAAATAGTAATTAAAATGCTGAAGGTACTCCAGATTAACACTGACATCGGGACATCCACGTCCACGACTTCTGTCCCCATGACCATACCATGGGTGCTGGAAAACACCCGAAACGTCGAAAATTAAAAATCAAAGAAATTTAACGCGATAAAATCCGTAAAAGTAGTTTTAATCAATCAGTGTTAAAATATTTTACGATTAGGTGAAATTATATAAATAACAGCTATACCTTAATAACCTTAGGATTTTAATTTCAAAGTATATTTTATAAGTATTAATTTATGGGCACCTTATTGCTTTATCTTTATATGAGAAATTATTGTTTCTCCGATAAAAGTTTTCAACAGAGTTACATTCCATCACGGATTAAATAATTCAAGCATAATATCATAATAATAAATAATACCTACTGTCTACCTACTGTCAGACATTTAAACATTCATAAAAGTTCAGTTATTAATGCATTCAGGTATATTTAATGATATATGTGCTTAAGCTCCGCCGAAGGGGCAGGGAGGGCTGATGCTGTATGCTAGATGATTTTCCTATTTGATGATGACTAGGAAAATTGTGTCCCGAAACCTTTTTTTCTATGACCTCTGCATAAAGGAATCGAAACGGTTCATTGCAAAGTAATCGAGGGTGTCGAAAGGCTTTTCTGAGGAAAAGAACGAAGGGAGGAATGGTCGTTCTCTGGAGAAGGGGTCACCGAAGCGTAACTGGCCAGCGCTGGTGGGTGCGATGTGTGCAAAATTGTTCCCGTGTCCCTGCCAATATGTGACGTAGGTGGTCTTCCTCCATGAGGTTTTAGTCGGTGCGAGTCCGACATAACCTGTCCGTTCTCCCGCGAGGCGGGTATGCGTAGGCATTTCTTAAAGTAAAACAAAAAAAGGCCTATTTCACTAGCCACAGTAATTGCTAAGGTTCTGGACGGTGTCATTGATACTCAGTTAAGACAACATCTTCAGTTTCATAACGCGCAGTTTTGATTTCACCCCGGTTTAGTAACCGAAATGGCTATATTGAATCTCAAGCTTACCGTCCAGTACCTCGATGGCGAGGTAGCGTATGTGTGTGAATGCGTTTCCGTGGTCTTACCTATATGCTGTGAAGGTAGTCATGGCTTTTGAGTCGGTGCGAGTTCTACATAATATACCGTCCTTGCACCTGCTAGGCGCACATACGTAAGTATTTTCCCATGAAGAAGAGGTGCATTATTTAATAGCAGTATAAAATTTATTCCTTTGAAAACGCAAATTGATATAATCACCTCTTAAAGTGGACATTATCTTAAATAATAAAGGTGACAAACAAGCACATACTCCTCTTGATGCTAAGTAGTGCTAAGTGCAAGTATGCTAAGTATGCATTAGCACTGACTGAGGTGGTGTGTCTCGTTTCCAGTAAGTCTCCAGTTCTCTACACTCACCATACAAAACAGAGCATTAAGCTCCTGTTCCACGCTGGTATTATGTGAGAGCTGGTTGCTTCCTCGGTCGAGCCGACCTCTTCGTGCTAAGTCCATTATAAAGCTGCAGCATGACTCTACCACGTAAAACCGAGCTAAAAGCTATCATTTAAATTCATATAAGTATGCAAGAATAAGTGCAGGTATTTTATATTTAGAAAACACTACTTTTGGAGCAGTAAGAATAATTTTGTCTTATCTGCAATGCTTTCAAAACCCATTTGCTTTTACTCCGTTGCCTCGCTGCATTTCTCATCCGAGAATCACCATGGCAACTGGTTAAAACAATATCCTTTGTAGATATTCACCAGAGATTGTTGATCTACCCCGCTGCTATAAAGCACTTGGGTAGTCAAAAGGGTGGCCTAAGTATATAATCAAAATCATAGGTCAAATAAAAGTGGTCTACTGCAGCTAATCCTCAGTAAGTATTAGCAAATTATTTTTGATAGAGAAATTTAGACTTTAATTTTACAGAATAATGTACAATTTATGTTAGCACTGTTAACTTTTGTACAAAATACATGTCGATATTTGAAAGCTTTCAATGCCTAATGCCGAAGAGCCTGCATTTAAAGACGATTAAATATTGTTGTTGGGTTTGAATTTTTATTGATAATTTCTATCTTTGCAATATGTGATGTATGTCACATATTAATAATAATACTCATCTTAATATAATCCAAAATTTAAATATCTCAAGTCTGAGGTATCGTCACTTGAAATTTAAATTCGTTACATAACATAATTTCAATTTCTTTACTCATGTAATAATAGTATATAAAATAATAAT